AGAAAGTTGGCAGGAAAACTCACAGGGTTTTTATGTATATTTTGTGTCTTGATTTGAGCCCTACAGACATCCTTAGAGAGATGTAGGATTAACTCTGTTTTATAGATAAGGAAGCTGAAGTTCAGGTAGATTAAGGGATGGGTCTGAAATCACAAGCTGAGAAGTGGCAGATCAGGGCCTTGATTCTAAGTCTACTTAGTGCTCGTTCTCAAAGCCTTTGCCTTCCCAGAGCTCTTCCCCTTTCTGCTCTCTGTGCCTCATCTTCTAAGGAACATGAGCAACCTGATAGGGGAGTTGAAAAGGAAACTGCACTCAGACTGCACTCAGGACTCAAAGATCCTGACCCGTTTACTAATGAAATATGTCTACCTCGGGATACATCACATATGTTGGTGCTGGCCAGTAAACAATTTTTTGTGAAGAGGAGGGAAATAGCCAAAGAGTTATGAGGAACAATGAGTTTATCATATTTCTCCTGACCCTGGTCACCCAGGATACTCCCTAAAACCCCAGAAATTCCCAGATTTGCCAAACATGCATTTGTCCTTTGCAAAAATAAAAAAGCAATAAAATGAGCTGTCAAACTGTCGCTAGGGTTGGAGCAATGGGAAGTCAATCTTTCCCCAAATTCTGGATTTTCTTTACAAGTTATTTGAAGCAGCATTGTATGAGAAGTGCAGCTGTATTAGAGAATGTGTGTGTGTGTCTCTTGGGGGTGGGGGGAGGTGTAAGTGTGAGAGATAGAGAAGAGAGAGACAGACAGAGAATAGAGAAAGAGAATATGAGCTTCACAAATACAAAGCAATGAGTTTTTTTCTAACAAGCCTGGCTGAGTTTCCAGTAATTCTGCAGCTGTGACATGACTAGTCCACTGAGATATTCAGCACTGGTTGGAAAAATACAACTAAAGTTTATTCAATCAATAGCAAGATGCAGTGATGCTTTTAAGAGTCACCTGACTTGTAAAAGTGGCTTCACCAAAGATAGGAAAGATGAACGAGTTGTCTGCTTTTCTTCAGACCTGGCTCTGTTTTTCTTTCTAGACACTTCACAGGGTACAAAGATTTCATATAGAAATGAGACACCTTGTCTCTTGAAGCATCACCATTGATATCTCAATAAGACTAGTCCTCTCGTTAGCCGGGCTCTCTTACAAGCTGTACAACAGCAGGTTTGAAGTTCTGCTCAGAGGGTCTTAATTGCCCTTGTTGAGTCTGCTTTGGGCCATCTGTGCTGACAGAACACTTAGTCCTCCCTCCCATGACATTTCCTTGCACACAGTGACCTCCATGTTCCAGATTGAATGTGATTTCCCCGCCCCATGTGCACGTCGTGCGTGTCACACCATGTGGCGATGAGCAAAGCCAGTTCTCTGACCCAAGTGAGGACTGCCAACAGGGCTCCCTGCAGCACTGCACCTGGCATCTGAACCTACAGATATCTGTGTGACGTCACGAAAATCACCCCAGCTCTCAATTTGCATGTAGAAGGGGGTTGTTGGGGCAAAGAAGTTGCTGTATTTAAGGATTTGGTGAGAACAGTGGCTAAGAAGCACTGATCCTCTCTCCTTCTGAGCTCTGATTTCCCTCCACTTTGGGTCCTGGCCACTCCTCCAGGAGCCACATGGTTACCTGGCCCCACAGCAGCCTCCTGGCACTGTAGTTTGGATACCAAGAGCCTGCTTGGGCCCCATTCTTTCCAGCCTGATGGCTGAGTTCTGAGAGTAGGAAACAGAAGGGAGTACCTGGGTACTGGAGTACCTGGGTGAACTATGGCCCTGCCGCATTTGTGGTGACCTGCTACTCAAGACAGTATTGCTTGCAGATGGACGTCTTTGCATTTCCCCCCTGGAATGAGCTTTCTTAATCTTCTCCCAGAGTGAGCTGGCTGCTCTTCTAGCTGCAGCCTCAGCAGTTTCTGGACAGATTTTGTTGGTTTACGACTAAGCAGGAAAAGCAGGAAAAGTGAGCTCCTGGGCCAAGAGCTCAGCAGGGGTTCCCTCCCTTCAAAGAAAGTGTAAAGAAGGTGCTGAAGTTAGGGAATCTGGGGCTCTGCTGTTAGCACTTGTGCTCCACACCCTCCCTCTGCCTCAGAAAGCTGGGCTGGGTGTAGCATGTGACCACAGAGGCAGGGACTGCACCCCAGAAATTGATTCACACTTTTCTGCTCAGCTCACTAATGCCATGGCCCTGAGAAGATGACCTACTGTGGCTGTTCCTCTGTAACATTAAAGTGCTTCTACACAGCATCTGCTATGGAACCTGAAGGACGTCGGCATGCCACTCATGCCCTCACACCACTGATAAAGAAAGCAAGGAAGTATTTGGCCTACAAGAAATTTAAATATAAAGTTAAGCTAGGATGCAGGCTAAGATGCCATCCCATCCCTGGTGCCTGTTTTTTCCCTGGCAGGTCTCCAAGGACAACTCGTTCAACTCTTGCCCTTCCTCCAGGGTGCCTAGTCTCAGTGTGTCTTTCTTCCACCTCTGGACTCTTGTACTTTGGGCTATGGGTGCCCACTTTCTGTAATCCCTCCATTTTACTCTGCCTTCTCTAAGGGCCCGTGAAACCAAGGCCAGCTACCCTTTAACAGATTTTGAACCAAGATCATAGCATGTGGCCAGGAGGAAGTTAGAATCACTCTTACCCTCTGCTAGACTCACTTTGTTTGCACTTGCATGTGAGGTACTTGTGTGCCTCACAAGTAAGCAGGATTGAATAAAGTGGAGCCTAATGAGTGGGGCTTTCTGCATATTGGCTTCTCTCATCAGGATACTGCATGCCAGAGAGCCTGGGAATAACCTCATCCATGATGGGTTAAAATAAAGTTTCTCTCCTGCCCGTGGATATCGATGATGAGAGAGAACATGCAATTAACCTTGAATACTTTAGGTCACTGGCCCGAGCTTGCTTACTGCTTGCTGCCTCAGTCCCTTCCCTAAAGAATAGGCAAACCATAGAGAACCAGAACCAGGAGTTCCAGGAAGGAGCAAAAATAGGAATTATCCCACCCTCAGAGCTGCACAGTGATTCCAAGAGGCTCATGAATCATTCTGTGCACCATATAGAGAGAATAAATGGGTTGTACCTATATGCACTGGTATTTTCAAAGATGTATAGGTACTGTTGTGGTTCATAAAATATAAATTTATTTTTTAAACAAGTGCTTAATAAGTTATTTTGATCCAATGATGTCTTTGGGAAGAGAATAACCTCAGAAGTTTAGCTGCAGGGTGAGGATTTGGGTGCTCTGCCTCAGCTCACTTGTCCTGAAGATAAATGTCCTCAGGCATGGAGCTCTGACTTTGTGACTAAACAGTAATCACCTGTCAGCGCAAGTGCCTGTTTCTCCAGTATAATCAGTGGCACAACATTCAATGCACGGTTTAGCCACAGTGCCAGGGCAACTGCAGGCAAAGGGAAGGGAGGACGGCCTTGCCACCTCATCAAAAGAAAAGACTGGCTGTCAGAGAATATTCCAGAAACCCCTGGACTTAGGACTGGGAGACCATGGAGAGGGTATCCTAGGACACAGCTGGCATCAGGAAGTGCAAGGGGATCCACAAGCCCAGGAAGTGGTAAAATTCCTAAAATCTTGCCCCTGCCATTGGCTTATAGGGAGCCCATCCTGATGGTTCAGCTCCTGTGATTTCACCCAATGCTGCCTCAGGCCACTCCACCAGCCACAGGTGTGAGTACCTCAAAGGAAGGGCTTTGTCCAACCCTCTGTGAAAGGTGCCTTCACAGCAGTGCTCTAAGTTGATTCTACCTTTGCATACCTGCTGGGGATTTAAATTTCATGGAATTCTGCTACGAGAAGGAAGTCTGTCTTCTACCTCTTTCCTCATTCCCCTCACCCCCACCCCAGCCTTGGAGAAATAGCAAAGGAAGATGCTTCTCTTCATTAGTCTATGCAAGAGACCTGCAGCTCAAAACAATGTGTCTAATACTGGTAACTGGTAAATGGGAACTTGAGGGAACTATGTCTTCACAGCTGGGAGCAGGGGGATTCACCAGGTGCTGAAAAGTAACCAGAAAAAGGTCTTTTTTTATGTAGCTGTAGGGAATGGGTAATGGGATATGTCCTTATTTCCTAACTACTCCAAGAGAAAAGCCATACTTCCTTTTTCTTCCTGTGAAGTGGAAGAAATCTGAAGTTGAATCTACTAAGTTCAGGGTTCTCACCAGCTAAGAGCCTTACAAGTGCATCTGAGCTCGCAGCCCATGAGAATGAGTTGTTTTATGGAAGGCAGGATTCTTATTAAAAGTCCATATGATCTCCATCACAGAAGCATGTTTTCCCTATAGCTATCTCTATCCCATTGCTAATCTGGTTGTTGTATGTATGGAAGCAAACTTCTTCAGCCCGTAAAACTCACATCATACTGTAGTAGTGTTTGTGAAAAACATTTTTTCATTTAAAAACAAACAAACAAACAAAAAAAGCAGCTGATCATAATGCAATAGCCAGCTTTGTGCAAAGTAAAATTTGTAGAGAAAAACAATGAAAATATGCTACTGTCTTTCACTGTTTCATTTCAGTTGCTCTGAGAGAGATAATAGTGTAGGATATGCTGCACGGAATAGAGTTGAACATGTTTCCTCTGCTCCCAGAGAACCTGAAATACCTCTTTAAGCTCTTCTCACTCTCAGGGCATCAGTGAAGAAGTAGTTAATAGGCCCTGCACAAAGAAAGTTCTGACGGAGTCCTTTGAAAGACCTGGTTTGTGGCCCACCACCCAGAAGTCCCAGCGTGATTCATAATGAGTCTCTGTCCTGAGAGTTACTCTTTCCTGTGGGGGACCAAAGACAGGGGGAATAGGGCCTGCGAGTTCAGGCTTATGTTGTGAGAGGGAGTGTGAGGCCAGCAGAAGTGATACCAGTGGGCTGGGGGAGCTCCCCAAACGTCGGTGAGACCTCCACCCCAGCTGGTGTCCAGGCTCTTGACACCATTGAGAAGATAATAATTCTGTCAAGGAATTCAAGGAAGAGTCAGAAAATAGTAAAAGTACAGAGATTTATTGCAAAGGGCAAAGTACACATTCAAGAAAAGGGAGCGTAGGCGCACTCAAGAGAGTCACACAGTGGGGTTTGGGATTTCTGTCTTTATGGGTTTCTTTAACCAAGGGGTGGAATATTCATGAAAATTCTTGGGAAAGGGTAGAGATTTCTCATAACCGCAGTGGCACCTATTTTTACAGCAAATATGGGTGGTCTTGGAACAGTCCTGGCGCTGGTAGGTGTGTGATCTAGTATGTTAATGAGTTTATAATGAGGTCCTAGGAGAAACCTAGGTCAAATCCAGCCACATACTGGGTTCAGTAGGTATTAGCTAGCTTGGTCCATGTCCTGTTTTTTAGGGTCTTATCAGCCCATAGCCTCTAGTCGTGTGAAACTGCTGTCTGGAATTTTTATTCTCTTGTGACCACCCTATATTATTCCTGTCTCAGACGAGGAGGGACGTGTGCCCACATGTTGCCTCCTTCTGTAGTTGAGCTGTCTACTCACCCATTCTTCCAGCTCCTGCAAGGACAAACTTCTTAACATAACTGCTACGAGATTAGCATCCTACCCTAGTTCTCCTTGGATAGTATGGGGTGAGCTAGCAGAAGGGGAAGAGGGGAGGTGTAAACCTTTTGTGAAGGTCTTAAAAATATGCTCATTCTTGGGGCAGGGCCAGGCCCTTTGATAATTACCCACAGCCTTGGGCCTTGGCATGGGAGAGATCTTTGGATCTTATCTTACAACCTCAATTTGTGAGGCAAACGTGATAACCACTACACTACAGAAATTCCTCATACAACCTCAAATTGTATGCAAAATTAGACATAGACCCGCCAGAGATGATTATCTGAACTAAGCTGCAGAGACCACTGCAGGGAGGCCAGTGATGGATGCTGTGCAGGCTCCAGGTGTTTTGACAGTTTCCTGCAAGTCATTCTCCTCCCACTTCATCCTTGGCACCCAGGCAGGTCTCTGAAGTAGAAGGTTATGGGTTATAAACAGCCTAGCTTTTCACCATTTTGTGAAATCTTTCAGCCAACCTTTTCCCTTCTATTCGTTCAGTAATTTATTCCACAAAGAATTATTGAGGACCTGCCTGCCATGCCTCAGGCCTTGTGCTAAGTTCTGGGGGACGGCTTCTGACTTCATGAAAATTACAGTCTAGAAAGGAAGCAGATAGTAAATAAATAAGTAAACAAATCAACAAGATAATTACAGATTGGTATAAGTGCTATGAAGGACATAAATGGCAAAATGAGATGGAAAGTAACTGGGAAGGGCTGTACTATAAGGAAAGGCCTCTCTGAAGAGGGGACATTTGAGCTGAGTCCTCAAAAAACAGGAGTGGCTGCAAAGAGCTGCAAGAAGAACATTCCCGGCAGAGGGATTGCAAAGACAGAGAGGCAGAAAAGCCTTGGGGAGTTCAGAACGGAAAGGCCATGGCTGGAGTACAGTGAGGAGAATGATTTTGGGTGAGTGCAGAGAGAAGTCAGGAGCCAGGCTATACAGGGCCTGGGACGCCATGATCAGAGTTTTCATTTTATTCTGAGAGCAACAAGTATTAAGAGAAGTGAGTAACATAAAGATCATTGTATGTTCACTGCCACATTGTTTGTAATAGCAAATTAGAAACAAATGTCATCAATATGGAACTGGGTAAATAATTTTAGATTCATTGCAGTGACATGCAGCAGTTAAAAACGGTGAGGCATATCTATATATATTGCTATAGAAGGATTTGCAAGATACCCTAAGTGGGAGAAAAGAGCTTAAAAATATGTTACAAAATGTATTTTTAAAAGAGGAGATGTATATGTATGTAGGTTTGCCTGTGTATAAAACATCACATAAAGGATATACAAGAGGGCTGGGCATGGTGGCTCACGCCTATCATCCTAGCACTTTGGGAGGCTGAGGCAGGCAGATCACCTAAGGTCAGAAGTTAGAGACCAGCCTGACCAACATGGTGAAACCCTGTGTCTACTAAAAATACAAAAATTAGCTGGACGTGGTGGCACATGCATATAATCCCAGCTACTTGGGAGGCTGAGACAGGAGAATCGCTTGAACCCAGGAGGCGGAGGTTGCAGTGAGCCGAAACTGCACCACTGCACTCCAGCCTCGGCGACAGAACGAGACTCCTTCTCAAAAAAAAAAAAAAAAAAAAAGGATATACAAGAAGCTGATAACAGTTGCTTCTGGGGAGAGGAACTGGGGCACAGGGTGGCCAGGGTGGAAGGGAGACTTACTGTTCATAGTATATCCTTTTGTATGTTTAAATATCCTACAATGTGCCTGATCACTTATTCAGCAAGAAAGACATGGTGTCTGAATTGCGGACACCCTCATTGCTGTGCAGAGAATGGACTGGAGAGGGCAAGAGCAGAGACAGAGGGTCAGTTAGAAGGCTCTGGCAGTGGTCCTGTTGAGGGATGGTGGTGGCTTGACCTGTGGTGTTGGTAAATGGAGAGGAAGAGATGTGGATGGATTCATGATTTACTTTAGAGGCTCAGCCAGCTGGGCCTGGTGTAATTACTGTTGTATTCCACACTGACATTCCCTACACCCACAGTTTAAGAAAACTTTGTGCATTTGAGATGGGAACTGGGCTTACCTGACTCTACCTTGACTCCTCTGACATCTTTGTGGTGGGAAGGGTTCTTGGGCTCCTTCCAGGTGCTAAAAACCTCTGGATTCCAGACAGTGATGTATCACAATGTGGAGGACATAGTTATGGACACTCACCCCTTTCATAGACACATGCAACAGTTGCAAACAACTTTTAATGGCTACAAAAAACAAAAAGAAACAAAACAAAGTTACACTGAAGAAGCCCACTTATTTCTCAATGGAACTTTCTTTCTTTGCAGAGAGATGCCAAAGGCCAGTACCTGTTTGACCTTCTTTGCCACCACCTGAACCTACTTGAGAAAGACTATTTTGGTATCCGCTTTGTAGACCCAGATAAGCAGCGGGTAAGTCAATATTCAAAACACAAAAGGAGGACAGAGCTAGTCAGTAAGCCTGAGGTCTTGAACTGTCATTCATATTCAAAGTCAAGCTTCAGGAATCAGGGACCAACCAGACCCTGCAGTTGGATGTCGTCTCTTCAAATCATAGCATTAGACCTGGAAGGCACCTTGGGTAGAGCTCACCTGGAGAAGCTTGTCATTTTACAGTTGCTGAAATGGCAGGCTAGGAAGCTTGAGTGATTTGCACAAAGTTGGAGGCAGAGCAGCTGGGCTGGAGTTGTGGTCTCGGAGCCCAGGTCACAGGTGGGCCTCTCCTGCCCCCTTTCTAGTAAGCAGCTGAACCACATTGTACCGGTTAAGAAAGGCCTCACCAAAAGTGCCATACCAACCCAATTTAGACAGGACAGAGACAGAGCCAAACCAGCATGGGCCTTGCAGATCTTGCAGTTCTTGCTCTGCTCTACACAGCATAGGCAGCTCTGCAGACACAGGGCATTCTGACAGACAAGGGTTCTGATATTCCAGACAGATACAGGAACAAGTCCATTATCTCAGGCCCCTGCCTATTTCTCCACCTTCATCTCCCTGACCTGTCTTCTCCCTGCTGTGGTGCCACCAGACAGTAATATTTTTGCTCTCCAGATACATCCTACCTTCTTTCTTTGCAGAGCCTTCATCTAGAGAGTTCCCCTGCCTAGAATCTTCTCCTTTTCCTCACCGCTCCACACTCCACACCCTTGTTCCAGCTAACTCCTTTTCACACTTAAGATCTTAGCTTAGACTTTCGCTTCCTCTGGGAAGTCTTCCCTAACCCCACTCGGTATTAGGGATCCTCCTATGGGCCCCCATGTGCCCTCTGCTACCCTGTATAGCACTTATTACAGCATTCTGTGATTACCTGTGTTCCCTGCAAAACAATAAGTTCCATGAGGGCCTGGACTTTACCTCATTCATCACTATCTCCCATGTAACTAGCACAGGCCTACAATGTAGTTGGTGTTCAATAAACGTTTTCTGAAGAAATGAACGCGTGAGTGAGTTAATGGCTTATAGTGTTGTATTTCTTACGTCCATTTGCTTAGCCTCCCACCTGCAGTTTCTATAACTTCCCTTCATCTACCCTTTGCTCTTTGTGGAGATGTACTCTCTGGCATCCCCACTGAAGTGGAGAGGTAATGGTGGACTATTTTTTACAAATGTTGTTTCTTTGTTTGGTCTAAACTTTTATCCTTAAAAAGGAAGGCTGGCTGTGTGCAGTGGCTCATGCCTGTAATACTGGTACTTTGGGAGGCTAAGACAGGCAGATTGTTTCAGCCCATGAGATCATGACCAGCCTGGGCAACATGGCAAAACCCTGTCTCCACTAAAAATACAAAAATTAGCTGGAAATGGTGGCGTGTGCCTGTAGTCCCAGCTACTTGGGAGGCTGAGACATGAGAATCACTTGAACCCAGGAGATGGAGGTTGCAGTGAGCCAAGATCACACCACTGCACTCTAGCCTGCGAGACAGAGCAATACTCTGTCTTAAAAAAATAATAAAATAAAATAAAAGGAGGGCCAGTTACTCCAAGGTCTCTTCATCCCCTAGAGTAGTGGTATATGAAGAAAAAAAGTCAAATTGTATCCTGTTCATTGGTTTTTTAGTTAGGTCAGAATGTGCTTGAGGAGAGTAAGAGAATATGTGGATGTGGTCAAGGTTAAAATGAGAAGGAGCTAGAGAGAGATAAGAACATGTGAAAGAGGAGAAATAAACATTTATGGAGTTCCTACTGCTTGCCAGGCTCTGCACTGCACACAAACCTAGTTCTTCCAGCTGATGTATACTGCTCACTGAGTTGTGCCAGGCACTAAGCTAAGAGCTTCACGTATGTTATTCCATCTCATCCTTGACGAAATGAGATGAGTATCCCTAATGATAATATCTGTTCTCCAGATGAGTAAATAAAATCTCAGATAAGTTAAGTAACTTCCCAAAGGTAAGTGGCAAAGCCAGCCTCAAGCTCAGACCTGTTTGACTCCAGGGACAATGTGGTTTCTGAGATTCCATGCTGAATGCATAACTGATAGCCTCTGAAAGTTGTGTAATTCTGTGCCTTGTGGGAGGGGTTAAGGAGAGCAGAGAGACTTGAGAGAGTATCTGAGGGTTTGTAGGGAAATGGGGACCTGTAAAGAGTTGTCCTTAGTCCACTGATTCATGGTAGGATGGAGGAGCTGAGCTCCCCTGCTCCCTCAGGGTGTAAGGGCCTAAAATAAACCTCCTTCCCTGGGTCTCGAGACAGTCCGAACCCAGCACTCACATCCATCCCCATGTCACTGCTTGCTCTGCAGGAGCCTCCATGCATCTGGAAGCTCTCCTGGTCTCTCCTGGAGGAGCTGTCCTCACTCTCCTTCCCCAGGATTCCTGACTCAGGCCCAGGGCCTCCACCTTCTCTTGGCCTCTGCTTTGTACCCTTTCAAGTCCCTAGAGTCTGAAGATTGTGCCACATTGGCCCATTCACTCAAATAGAGGAGGAAACCCTCCTCTCTGAATCTTCTTTTCCTCTTCTTTTAATCCCTCCTCCCTAAGCCCGTGTTGTCTGTTTGCTAGTGAATCTGGGACTGATTTGGTCAGGCATTTACAAAAAGCCACTCTAGCCATCACCATATTCTTGGGTTCCTCTCAAGATTTCTCTGCCAGACGCCAAATCGTATGGATCGACTGTGACAGCTCTCCAGTCCCTTCTCACCCCTTGCTACTCTCTTCCAGCCTCAGTCCTTTCTTGAGCTCTCACTACAATAAAACTAAAATCTTCTTTCCAGCTATTGCCAAGGGGAATAGCCTTTTGTCATTCAGCTTTCTCTGCCCTCTGCTGATAATGCATCTCACAGTCATTAATTTCTACCTTCCTTTGTTTATTTCTTTTAATCTATCAGTCTAATGTCTAGAGGTGTTGGTGTTCTGTGTACTGAGTCCCTGGCACTGACTACGTTCTCCTAACTGTCCACAACCCCGGTGTGCTCTGAACAGATAGGCCTCCTCCCTCTTCACAGGCATACCCTGGAACCCCAGTTGTTTCTGAGCAATTTCATCTCTTGCCTTTGCCTCCCTGTGAAGCTGAGCCGTGGTGGGCCGTGTAATGTGAGAAGGACCTCTTAACCACATTGAGTGGCTATAATGAGTTGCCAGCCTCATGGGAACTCAGATCAGCAGAAGCAGGAGAGCAGAATGTCAGCCCAGATTATCCGTGTGGAGCTGACGGAAGAACTGGCTCTTAGTGGGTCCATTAACTGCATGACCCATGACCCAGCCCAGAAGGTGATCACTGGGAATTAAGGGAGGCCAGGATGCTGACTGCAGGGCCCTGGCTGCTCTCCTGCCAGAGGGAGGACTCTGCCAAGACATTACACTAAATGGAAGTAGCCAGAAAAGAAGGAAGTATGGGCCCAGTCCCTTTGCCATTCAGCAGCTACCTATTGAACACTGTGCTAGGCACTGGTGATACAGTTGTAAACAAGATGAACAGTTCTGGGCCTTCATGGAGCTTATATCTGGCAATGTTAAGTTACCTCTGGATAATCAAACCCCAATTAATAGCAGACCTACCTAATCCTGTTAGCAAAAAGCAACAAACATCAATAATAAATTTTATAAAGGACCCATGTAGAATTAACAAACACATATAGAATGGTTTCATTGCTTCCCCCAAACATTTAAGTACCATGGGAAAATGTATTTTGCCTCTATGTCCTGCCTCCTTGAAAATCCAAGGGGAAAAGGGTACTATCCTACACGTTGGTTGTGGTTAGTTATCATTTGAGATTTAGATTTTAAAACATTGCTGGATGCCAAGGAATCTTGAGTATGTGTTTTCTAACACTAAGGGTTGGCAATTTATGTTACTCAATGAAAGATGGAATATATACCAGCCATCCCTGACTTAGGAAATTTCCACTTGTCGCTGCTTTCTAGAGTTGCTACCAATATCTTCTATCCCCGCTCTGCTGCCAAAAAAAGAGAAAAAAAGCTGGTGCATAACACACACACACACCACCCATTAAAGTCAGTATTTCCCAACTCAACCCAGGTGGGGCTCTGTCCCCGCCACACATACATGCAGTTGCTTGTGCCTAATCGCATGCCAAAAACATGGCTGAGAACTTTGGCACCCTGCTTTAGAAGACAGCATTTCCAGGGAAGCCCAGAAATGGCATCTGAAGCTGGAACTATTCCCCCCTTCACAGCTGGCTTCATGGGAGCTCATTTCAGAAAATCATATCACTCTTTACTCTCCAAACTTCTCTCCAAGCTTTTGGGCTGCTTTCACCCTAGGCTACAATCTGTCTAGTTTTTTAAGTTGGAGAAAACAAGTTATATTTTACAGCCCTTCTCATTAGGGTTTTCATGTTCTGTGTTCTCTGTTTCAGCATTGGCTGGAATTTACGAAGTCTGTGGTGAAGCAATTGAGATGTAAGTATTCTCCATGAAAAGACTCAAGCCACACCCCTGGGGAGGGTGGCATGAAACCTCCCACTTGCCGCAAGTTTTGGTCTACGTATATAATTTCCCACTGTTCTCAGTATAAGGTGGCCATAAATATATGAGGGTTCTCTTCTGATGCTTCATGCTAGTGGGCAGTACAGCCCTGTCTCTTCTGGGTGAGGGTCTTCCCTGATGGGCACCTCTTTTTCTCTGCAGCCCAGCCTCCATTCACCATGTGCTTCCGTGTGAAGTTTTATCCTGCAGACCCTGCTGCTCTGAAAGAAGAAATAACCAGGTGAGGTGAACATGCTTCCCGTAGCCATTAGGACCTGTTGGAGAGCATAGGAAAGGGGGATGGTGACCTCTTAGAGCCTCTCGTTTGGAAGCGCCTAACTCTTAGAGGCAAGGAACTCTTCCTAAATATAATGACTTCTGTATTTCATTTCCACATGCTTTCTTTGTGTACCCCTCAGTGCAGTTGGAACAGAGCAGACTTCTTTCCTTCAAGAAGTGTGAAGACTGCATCTGGAACTGGTCACTCTCAAAGGGATCTGCAGTAACTAATCAGAAGCATCTTTTCTTTTACCTATCATGAGGCCACTGTGGACATTTTTGGAGAGAGCTATGTTGCTGCTTATTTTGGGGGTTGAAAACAGTTTCAGGTGGTCTAATGGATATACTTGGAAAATGCTAAGGCATCACACCGAAAGATAAGCTAGGAGATACTGAAGATTTTAAATCAAAATGGGTAAACTCTGGTGTGCCATTGGATCAGGTTCATGATCAGCTCTTTACTGTGGGAATCATGTTCTGTGGCAGGCAGACAGCTGCGTGGAATGCATCCTATCTATCCAGCACCACTTGAGGATGAGAAAGAATCTCTCTGCCTATAGCCATCCTAAACGAGGGTCAGTGAGTGAGAGCTTCTAAGCTTCCCCAGGATTTTGTGTATCTGAGCCAAATTTACTCTGAAAGCCTCACCTCAGAGATTCAAGAACTCTACAACAGGGATCCCTAATTTTTATATTAGAAAGACCTAATTTCGACATAAGCAAAACCTTGATGTTACTTTGTAGAAGGCAGGACCATAGGTGAGGGTGTGATGCCAGGGAATCCTAGAGCTGAGGAAGAGACAGCACTGTCAGCCCTAACCCCTTCCCTAAGACCTTGGAGACAGCAAACGTGGGAATGAGGATATTGCCAGCCATATAGACCATTTATCCTATAAGGCTTTGAGATCCACTCCTAGATCCTGAACTGCTTGGGAAAATTCCAAGACAGAAAAGGAGGAGGAAGAAGGAGGAAAGAATATGGAATTCTTTTCTTTTCTTTTTTTTTTTTTTTTTTTTTTGAGACAGAGTTTCGCTCTTGTTGCCCAGGCTGGGTGCAGTGGTGTGATCTCGGCTCACTGCAACATCTGCCTTCTGGTTTCAAGCGATTCTCCTGCCTCAGCCTCCTGAGTAACTGGGATTACAGGTGCCTGCCACCTGTTATTTTTTTTGTATTTTTAATAGAGATGGGGTTTCACCATGTTGGCCAGGCTGGTCTCGAACTCCTGACCTCGTGACCTGCCCGCCTCGGCCTCCCAAAGTGCTGGGATTACAGGCGTGAGCCACCGTGCCAGGCCAGAATTATTTTCATTTCCCGATCTAAAGCGCAGGCCAGGTGAAAGGAGCAAAAATTTCTCTAAGAGGGGAAATCAGGAAATGGGGAGAGGAGCAGGCAAAAGCAGGAATTAGTAGTGCAAAGGCAACAAGGAAGTGGGACGGGGAGAAAAGTGGCTTCTTCATGGGCCCTTCACATGGGAGTTGAGGGAAATCTTCTGATGGAGTCAGAAGGATCAGGAAGGCTTGTTCCTGCAGATGCATAGGGCAGTGTGCACCCACCTATTCTGAAGCGCTGAAGACAGTGAGTATAGCTAGAACCAAATCTCATGTCTCTTACGAGGCATAGAAGCTCCAGGCTCTGCTCATCTACATGGAAGTAGAGGTGGCTCTTGCTTTGCTTCAGAAAACCAAATCTATCCAAATCATAGACACCCTACCTAAGGCTTTAGGTAGGTAAGGGTAGAACCACTATGTTTAAAATTTCAGGCCAGGCGTGGTGGCTCACGCCTGTAATCCCAGAACTTTGGGAGGCCGAGGTGGGTGGATCACCTGAGGTCAGGAGTTCGAGACCAGTCTCGCCAACTTGGTGAAGCCCATCTCTACTAAAAATACAAAAATTAGCTGGGCGTGGTGGCAGGCGCCTGTAATCCCAGCTACTTGAGAGGCTGAGGCAGGAGAATCACTTGAACCCATGAGGCGGAGGTTGCAGTGAGCCAAGATCATGGCACTGCACTCCAGCCTGGGCAACAAGGGTGAAACTCCGTCTCAAAAAAAAAAAAAATACAATTTTCTAAATCCAGTGTCACTATCTTATATGAATGGACAGACCTTCCTACCTAAGAAGCAGCATAGACTTGGGAGCTCAGATCTTACTTATGTCACTTGTTCGCTGTATAGCCTTGGAAATAAGATGCTTAACCTCTCTGACCTTAGATTACTCATTTATAAAATGGGGATAATAATATCTACCTCATAGAATTGTTGGGAGGATTAACCACTATCCCGGCCTCTTATACTTCTTAATACACCCACAGTGAGCCTTACACTGAGCAAAGGCTCAATATTTCATTGCCAGATTCATTACACAGTCCATAGGCCCAGGGGCTCTGCATCATGCACAAGTACAGTTAGTACTGGCTTTTCTCCCTTGTTTATGTGAAAGGCACTTCTTTTCTAACAATCTCCACTCCTCCTCTGTCCCCTTTCCCCACGAGCTAGAATCCTAAAACTTAAGCAGCTAATTTCTGAGTCCTGAAAGAGAAAGCTATCCCAGGTAATCATCCAAGTCCTGGTAAGCAGAGCATTAGGACCATGGCCAGGCCTCTCACCAAGTCAGCAGACTTCAAGGACACTGGCAAGATAATGAGCTCCTCTCCATCTGCATGCATGTGTGCTATCCATCTTGGGCAATTTTCCCCTCTCTCTCAACCTCAGCAGCGTTCTTTACCTAGTATGCAATTTTCCAGCATTGTCAGGAGTGTGAACCACAGGTGCCTGGGCCTGATTTGCAGTCTTTGTGCCTCTCCCTCCCTGGGGCATTCTGTGAGGCTGTGGAATTAGCTGCATTTTTCTCCTCATTCACATCCTAACTAATCTTAAGAGAGTAGATACTGGCCCCAGCCTCACTCAACACCCGTAATTCATCCCTGGCTTACAGCCCTCCATCCCACCTTACTGCCAAACTAATTTAGCTGTCAGTGTGTTTTTTCCAGGCAATATAGGTCCTAAATTTCACTGCCGTCTCAGCCATTCCCATAAAGCCAGGCTGAGAGAAGGGGATGAAGTAGGAAGTACAGAATTTGCTTCAATTTATCTCTTGGCTTCTTCCCAGATGATAAATTTAGTTGCCAAATCCTGATTAATTTCTTTTGTCATTTTTAAAGTAATAGACAGATTTTCTTGTCTAGGCTAGAGACAAGGCAAAGAAAATGGGAAATCAGGTAACAGATTTGGCTTTTAACAGGGATTGCAGGTGTATGAACTCTTTGGAAAGATCAAGTAAGAGAACAAACTGACTACAAATGGGACCCCACTGTCCAAGGAAGCAAAATGTCTGACACGCAACAGGTGCTCCAAAAAATGTTAATAGAATGAATAAATACATACATGAATGAATGGAGTCATCAGGTCACTTATTCCTTCAATGAACATCATTTGAGCCTAGCTTAGGCTAAGATGGATTGGCAAACTTTTTCTGTAAAGGGCCAAATAGTAAGTATTTTTGGCTTGTCGGGCCATATGGTCTCTGTCGCAACTACTCAATTCTGTCATTGTAGTGTGAAAGCAGCCATAGACGATACATAAATGAATGAGCAAGGCTGTGTTCCAGTAAAATTTTATTTCATTGGAAACTATGACAGCAGGCTGTAGTTTGCCAACCCCTGGGCTAAGAAATCAGAAAGAGCTGGCTTCAAATCCTAGGTTGTTCTTTAACTAGCTCTGTGACAAGGCAAGCAGCAGTATCTCTAAGCACTCAGTCTCCTCATCCATTAAACAGGGATTAAAATGGTAGTCACCAGCCAGGCGTAGTGGCTCACACCTGTAATCCCAGCACTTTGGGAGGCCGAGGTGGGCAGATCACCTGAGATCAGGAGTTCAAGACCAGCCTGGCCAAAATGGTGAAACCCTGTCTCTACTAAAACCAAAAAAAAATTGGCCGGGCGTGGTGGCACGTGCCTGTAATCCCTGCTACTTAGGAGGCTGAAGCAGGAGAATCACTTGAACCCAGGAGGTGGAGGTTGCGGTGAGCCAAGATCGCACCACTGTATTCCAGCTTGGCAACAAAGCAAGATTCCGTCTCAAAAAAAAAAAAAAAAAGGTAGTCACCTCATAGAGTTGCTGGGAGGACTGAATGAAAGAGGGCATGTGAAACAGGGCACACAGCATGCACTCAGTAAATGTGAGTCTTTATTGTTATTTTGTTGTGTTATTATTTTGTCATCTCCCCCATTGAAATGTAAGCTCCATTAACAGGACTCTGGGTTGTTCCCTACTGCATTCCCAGCACCTGTGACAGTGCCTGGCACATATAGTAAGTGTCAGATGGATGGATGATGGACAGATGGATGGATGGATGGACGGATGGATAAGCTAGGCACAGGATGTTTAGGCTGTCTTGAAGAATATTAAAAGTAAATACAACATAGTCTCTGACTTCAAGGAGCTTATAGTCTAATATGGGGGAGGAAGACATACTAAAACCTGACTATAATTATAGTCAGGAAAAAGGAAACAGTAAATAGAGGAAGCTATTTGAAGGAAAGAATCCCTTTGAAAAAGAATCTATTTGAAGGGAAGGTGAGGCCAAAGATCTTCTGGAAAAAACTCTCCAGGAGCCTCCAGTGCTTTCCACAGTTCACAGCCTTAAACTCTGGAAATACCTGTGGGCTCATCCCCACCCTGGGAGATCAGACAGCCTTACGCCAAAGCCAACACCCTGGAGAGATGTTCGCGTTACACAGAAGCTCAGGTTTTCCCTGGCATCTTGCAGGCTTTTGCTCCTTCTGTCCTGATTCACACTCCAATCAATTTAGGACAACACTAGCATTCAAACAAAAATGGAGGTGAGGTAAAGCCTCTCTGAGGCCAGAAAGAGATCAGCAGAGTTTAACAACCAAAAACCCAGTTTCCTCAGAAGCAAGCTTGTTCTCCTAAATCTGGTCTAGAACTGATTTCTCCCTTGGTCCCA